CAACAGGCACTAAGTCGCATAGTCGCCAGGGTTTAGGCACTAAGTCTCATAGTCGCCAGGGTTTATATAACATACACTAAGTCGCATAGTCGCCAGGGTTTATACAGCGGGTGCTAAGTCCATAGCTCATTTATCGACAGTATTATTTTCGGCAATCCACCCGAAATACATGTCAATGGGTTTTTAGAGTACACCGGATGAACACGTCGTTCACAACACCTACAGGTTGCGAGCCTGCTAGTGTTCCACAGATCGTCTAGAATAGTCAATGACTGTCATCCATACTCTGCTAGATGACGGGGCCAACATTTGGGTAAAGGCTTTTCTCACTTCTCACCTCCCACCCTCATCTCATGATCTATATAGCCTTTCATCTCATATTCCAACTCATTTTTCATCATACACCAACTATTTTATCTACCCATGTTTTACCCCAACATATTTGTAGATATAAAATACATATACAATTTAAATTATTTAAAACGTATATAAAATCGATCATCCAGCATAGACAACAAGTATTCAAATAATATGCACACATAGCACGTAATTTTATAAAAATACTTCATATTTATGTGTAAGATGAAAGTAATATGCACTCACTTGTAGCGTGCTTTGATAGAATTAGAAACGGTCAGCGCTTCGTGATCGTCGGGCTCGGGATGCGAAAACGGCCTTAACAAACGAGGGAGAGAGAAGAGATTTTGGTGTAAGGAAGAGAAGAGGCTGGACTTGCTATTTATAGGCTGATTTTGGATCTCTTACGTCGTGAGAATCAAGATTCACGTCGTGAGCCATGGCAAGAGTCATCCCGTAGTCTTCCCAGGTGTTTTCTAGGCTCGATTAGTATCCGTTTGACTCCTCACGTCGTGAGAAATCGTTGCTCACGTCGTGAGCTTTTTGACTTCTAGCTTCGAAATGTGACATTTTGACTCCTCACATCGTGAGAAAAGAGGCTCACGTCATGAGTCCAGTCAGATTAGGGTTTCTGACACGTGTCATGCTCTCAGACAGCTACATCTTCGGAAGGCCATAACTTTTGCATACGAGCTCCGTTTTTGACGTTCTTTATATCCACACGAAGGGGGAGACGTACTCTAAAACTTTCATTTAGAACCCTAAGGCTAAAAAGTACTCTATCATAAACTCACTTTTATGATTCCCGGTGTTGTGCCGGTTTTGTCGCGAAACTTCGACATGTCATAATTTCTTCGTTATAACTCGGATTTCGGCGTTCTTTACATGTACGTAAAACTTGTGACAGATACTACAACTTAGTTAAAATTATTTATTCTAAATAACCCTCTATCAAAAAGTCATTTTTGACGGTTATCGTCTCTAAGTTGACTAGCCCGAATCTGCGGGCGTTACATACACACACACACACACACACACACACACATATATATATATATATATATATATATATATATATATATATATATATATATATATAATAAGCTAAACATATTAAAAAAGAAAGAATAGTTAAAACAGTTGTTGGGAAAATAAACCGTGTTGGGGTCTTCACTGCACCCCACACATCAAAAAGTGTGGTGTTCACCGCACTTGCCACCCCAGCCCACCGCAAGATACGATGTGATGTATGTATATAGTTAGGTCATATGTAGTTCGAAACTATCATATTTTCTAACTTTTTAATAATCTAACCAATTTACAAAATAAAGGTCGTATTGCTATTGCTATTTATGGAATATAGAAAAGGGGAAAATACAAATCCAGCCAAAATCCTTAATTACTTAACAAAAAATAGCCAAAAAAACCACTTAGCCAAAAATAGCCCACAAAAGAGTAGTCAACTGTAGGTTGACTACTGTTTCGTGTTTTGTATATAAATTTTTTTTTTCATTTTTAGGATACAAAACCGTAGGTTTTAAAAACCTACAGTTTCCTCTCGAAACTTACGGTTTCCCCAAAACAGTAGTTAAAACCCCCAAAACAGTAGATTTAAAAAAAAAACCGTATTTTTTCACTCAAAACCGTAGCTACGGTTTGGGAAACAGTAGGTTTTAAAAAACCTACGGTTTTGTATCCTAAAAATGAAAAAAAAAATTATTCAAAACACGAAACAGTAGACGATTTAGCGAAACAGTAGACGAATATCAAAACCTATGGTTTCGTGGGCTATAATTGGACATTTACTAATTTTTTGCTATAAATTGCTAACGACTTCCTTAATTTGTCTAGATTAGTAATTGCCCCTATAGAAAAATGATTATTTCTAATTGTAACTAGGAACTTGATCGCCGCACGTTGCAGCGTCAACAATCCGTTTTGTAAGTTAAATTTTGATGATTGTATTTGTTAATAGATAAATATATACAAAGTCGGTACCACTAACTAATTCCAATTTATATCGTCGAATAAAAACGTATTATATGTGATCAAACTCATACATAGAAAACATACATAAAAATAAGCACAAAGTGTACACAAAATTTACGTCGAAACGTAAAGAATCTCGAATGTATACTGATACGTACATAAAAATAAGTAAGATTATTATTTTTTAAGTTAACGAACGGGAGTTCAAATAAAAAAAATGTATAATATGTGACCCGACTAATGCTTAGGAAGCATATATTAAAACAAACGCGAAAACATAAAAAAAACATGTTGAAAGTATACAAATTCGAATTTATACAGACGCATACATAAAAAAACAAGTTATTTTAAAAAAAAAATAATAATAACAAACAAAAATTCTATATTTACGTCGAAACGTTGACAATCACAAATTTATACCGACACATATATAAAAATAAAAACGAAATAAATTAGATTTTTTAAGTTAATGAACAAAAGTTATTAAGGAAAATCAAATGGAGGATAAACATGAAAGTTTAGAAAATGAAAAGGATAAAAATTATATTTTATAAAGTTCATACTAGAAAGGTCAAAGTGATATTTCGAAAAATAGAAAATATTATTTTATAAAGTATTTTAAAAATTAAAGGAATAGAAAGTATGATTTCTGAAAGTTAAGGGGGGCAATTAATAGAAACTTTCACGGTTATTAATATAGATATAAGGGAAATTAAATAATATAAGCACAATTTAATATATATTTGAACTATATATTATATTAATATATAAAATCAGACATTTTATTAAAAATCATGACATTAAACATTTCAAAATTAAGATTTCAAACATAAGTAGGGATATTTTTTTTAAAAAAAATGGAAAAAATTAAAAAAATAACTCTAAAATTTAAGATCTAATCAGGCATTCAGAATTCTAAAAAAATAAATAAATAACAAAAAGAGTTTTCTTTAAAAAAAATTGTAAAATATAACTTCAGAAATGAGAACAATACGGTGAAAATTGCTATCTTTCAAAAACTGAAAAAAAATATATTTTCTTTAAAAAACTAATTTATAATAGCTATATATAATAATTATTATTACTCTAAATCAAATATAATTTTAAAAGAAAAAAAAATCCATAAATTTGGTTTGCATGAATGGTTCCATCCCTGCACGTGTGATACAGACTATGGTAACGAGAGGGGCTACGTATAGTCCGTTGTACAACTTGAGTTGCAGAACTTACAACACGCCTTTGGCTGGGGTATAGCCTCAACCTATCCCTGCAGTTTTACAAATATAGCCCTGTCCTAAGTGCTTGTCATTACTTATATAGGTCACCCCTTTTCAAGTCATCCTAAACACACAATTTTCCTCTGTTCGCATTTCCTAAAAGGTCAAATAAGTCATTTCGTTAATCAAATAAAAAAATTATCAATTTGTTACTTTCATCATTTGCTTAATGTACAACATTATATCGATTTAGAGCGTAATTTGGTAATGAATTTATACAGTTGACCATGGTCTGATTTCCTTGAATCAAGGCCATTCACTCATATTTAACTACTTTTGTGCATTCCATACTTACATATATCAGTTTATTTAGGTTAAAACTCAAAACACTTTCACAATGAAATCCAATAACACTTTCATTTCCATCGCCTTCTTTTTCATTTTGTTATTCCATTCCATCCACGTTTCACATTCCGCACCTTCCAAGAAAACCAATCCATACACAAGTTCCAAAAACCCCCCAATGCTCATTCCAAGACTCGAAACATGGGCTCGAGCAATGCAATTGTCATTCCATTCCATCTCGGAGCCACAGATACGATCACACTCGGAATACCAATCCCGATCATCCGGAATGGTATCAATACCATATCGAGAGACACCGGAATCCGATTCCGATTCCGATTCCGACGCCTACCCATTCCTAGACGGTAATTCCGACGTGTTGGAGAAAACAATGAAATCTATTGCATGGTTAATCAAACTCGGGTCAATTCACGCTCAAAGACTTTCAAACACAGTAGTGAACCCGAAAGATGAAGACAGGATCTTGAAAAGTTGTAAAGATAGCTACGATAATGCATCTAACAATCTCCAACAAGCAATGAAAGCATTGTTGTCTAAAGATGTTGATCGAATGAAATCAATGCTTAATGCTGTTTTTTCCAATATAAGAGATTGTAGAGACGAGTATTTGGGTAAAAGTAAAACTTCTCCATTTGCTACTTATGATGATAAGGTTACAAAGATGACTAGTAATTGTCTCACTGTTCTTGATTTGGTCCATGAACGCCGTTGATCGATGCAATTATCAGTTCTATGACAAAATACAGACACCAATAAAACCGATATCATTCATGAATCATAATGTTTGCTTTTGTTAACTTGATGCCCCTTGGGCCTATTAAGCCCATTGAGGTTTGTGTTACAGATTAGCGTTGGTTTGAAGAATAAATAAAGACGAGAATGTAATCCATAAAACATTTGTTAATGGAGTATCAGACAATTTTCTTTTGTTGGAATGATTTACGTTTTATAAAAACTAAAAAGATATAATTATTACTTATTGAATGAAATCTACAAAAGCAAAATATGCGATAGTTACACTTACTCAAGAGTTATATAGGATTAATTTTATAGGTAATTATATACAAATTTGTGGCACAATTTGAAAACAAAATTACAAAAATGTAGCACAAATGACAGAATATATATATAACGAAATTCGTAAATCCAGACATTAATTCTCAATTCCTGATGCCTGAAAGATACTCATATTTCAAGATTGACCCATGAACACAGCACCATGTCCACTAGCTTTCATGAACTTCTTCAACAGAAGAACAGCAATAGCAAGGGCAAGTCCGACTGCCGCCCATGTGAACAGGCGGTCATCCGCCGGTTTCGGAACTGTTGATTGGTGGTGGTGCTGCTGCTGCTGCACCACCACCGCCGGTACTGGAGGAGGAGCAACCAGAGCTGCCTGCTCTGGTACCCTTGGGATGTCGGCTTCTGTGTTGTTGTTCAAGGGACCTTCAGGTTGTTGTTCTTCGGGTTCAGTTATCTCTGTATTAGCATTTGGTGGAGTCGCCGGAGCTTCGCCGGATTGTTCAGTGGCGGCGGCAGATGGTGGTTCTGCAGATTCCGGTGAGTTGGGGTGAGGGACTGGTGGTGCCTTACTGATCATGTACTCATGAATCTGCATATTCACAAAATTGAAAAATATTGTAAAATTTGTTTAATATTGGAATGTAAGGGTAAAATGGTCATTTAGTAAGACCTCATCAATGAGCTTTTGACGATCTGGAGAACCAAAAGTTGGGGAAGATTCACGAGATTTAACAGCAAGAACACGTCTTTCTTCTTTCTTGTAATCCAATGATCCCAAAGCACCATTTGGACTAGTGGGCATGAATGCAATTAGTGCTGTTAAAGCAGTTCTAACTGCAATTCAAGAGATTATTAGTTTTGGTTTAGTCAACAACTTGTTTGATCTAAAAAAAGTCAAAATCAGATACTTACCACTCCATGATGGTTGCCAATGTTCAGGATGATGATTTGATATGCTTAAGCAGATCTTTGTCTGAGTTTCAAAACGTCCATTTGGCTGAAACAATGACAACAAGTTTATGCTTTGCACAATTGAATTACTTTAGATAGGCATATGCAAGTAAATTTGGTTTGGATGATAATATTGGTTTAAAGTTGGAATTGAAACTAAGAAAATGATGATTACCGTTAATAACATAAAAGATGGTGGTTTGAATGGGTACTCTGAAGGCAATTGAATTCGACCATGATAAATTCCTCCTTCAAATTCCGTATCATTTGGTCCCCTAATTGCAAATTGCCATTCAAAGATATTCTCCTGTGTAAAATACATATAGACCGTAATTAGAACACCACTTCATGAAGTTCATAACCAATTATGAGGTTTATGTTGAAAATGGAAGTCCAATGTTGGTCAGGTGATAAACTGATAATCCATATTTTGAAATAGCAACGCAATAGATTGTCTACAAGGTATCATAGCCTGGTTCAGTTTGAGACTACTCGCATTCGAAACATGAAAACTTCGAAAAATTTAAAGCTGTTTAACTCAACGTAAACCTAGCTTTTGATTCGATTGAAACAAACCGAGTAAATTATTGAAATCGAAGAATCCGTTTGTAACAGATGAAAATTTTGAAATTTGTTTCATTTTTCATCAGATCACAATTCAAATGATGTTAAATCGAACGAAACACGCCATGGAATTAAGCGAAGAGCATAGTTCAGCTACCATCGCACAAAATTCAATTTAATCTACACAAACCCTAACTACACCTAATCACGAAAGGGTGAGAACCTTGTTACAATTACGCCGCAGGAAAATGGAAAACTGAAACATATTAGAACGAAGATACATGAATTTTCAATTGGATTACCTCAAGGGGAAGGCTCATGAAATCGTCAGATGGGTTTGATTGCATCTCTTTCAACTCCTGTAAAATCCTTTTCACGGATGGATTCTTCATATTATATTTCTCCGCCATGGTTGTTTCCTCTTTTGTTAACAGTATCTGATCCTAAATCAGATTAACAACGAAAAGGCTGAAGATTGTGAAGAAAATTGGGAGGAGGAAGGTGGAAACAAGATATAAATCTCCTGTGAAACCAAATGATAGAAGGGGTAAAAGGGGGCAGGTGTTGACTCACACGTCGCCTGTATTACGTGGCAGCTGATGATTGGTGTAGCATCATCGAAGCAATGTAATAATATTTAATTTTTGTTTTTTTTAAATGTTATACAGTTGGATTTTGAGAAATATACGTAATACGTGCTCTAAAATATTACAATAGTTTAAATTATATATCTCTAATTATAATCGAAAAATGAATATCATATTTTTTGGAGTTGAGAATTGACCACAAGAGTTTGATGACCATGTAAAAAATAAATCGTAAAAACTGTCCATATAATTTTTACAGAAAATATCTATGTGTATATTTTTTCATATAGAAAATGTCCACATGTATAAACTTTTTAAAAAAGTAGTCTCTGTCTAATTGAAAATTTAAAGATTACAACCTGATGTAATATCATCCTTTTTTTTACGAGATGAAAATAACATATATGGTTTGTGAAGATTTCTATGAAATATCACATCAATAGAAAATTCTATTTATTAGTGAAAATTTTGCAAAACTAAAAGTAGTATGTTCTGAAAAAGCCTGAAAAATAATCACGGATATAGGTTAGAATTGAATAAGAAATGTTGTTAGCTAAATATTGTTGACGGGTCAGTATTTGTAGTTTTGTACCATAAGTGGCACAAATTACTTCTTGTGGGGCTTATTTGTATCTATACTGAAAGTATATTTATTATGATTTCGTTCTTTTACAAGAAAAACACACTAAAAAAAATTGATGGTCAAATGAATTATTCAAAATTATTATTTGAGAAAATGACAAAATTAGATACATTTGGAAATGCTTTCATAAAATATCCATCTTTTTTACTTATTCCTCAAGAGTGAAGCTGACCACCGATTTCCCATTAAGGCCCAATCTAAAAAACTAATCTCACTATTTTCCATTAAGACCCAATTTAAGCATTATTTTATATTTTAAAAAAAAATTACACCATTTTTTTTGAATCTTTTTTTTTTCTTTTAAAATCTTTCACAATTTAACACTCCATTTTCATACTATAAAACTACTTTTTGGTGCAGCAAAGATTATTGAAGATTTCAACATTAAAAAAAAAAAAATGGATGGCAATTTTTTTTTTTGAAAAGCAATGATTTTTGGAATAAGATGAACCTATTCCAATGAAGAACAACTTCACAGTATAAGTACACTATTTTTAGTGGAAACCACACAAAAACAAACAAACAAATTTCGTAGCATGAAATAGTTTTGAAATTTGTGGTTGTCTTTTTCTCTTATTTGTATGTATAGTGAAATATTACTGGTCAAAATGAATTGTACAACATTGCTAATTATACATGATCATAACTAACAACCTATTTAATTACAACACTTCTACAATTTCGAGCTATATTTACTTGCATCCATTGTAGTACTCAAACCCAAAGGCACATCATCAAAGCCCGGCATATTTTTCTGTTGAAATTCTTCTAAAGTAGCATTTTTCGGATCAAAAACCTTCCCATTATCCAAAACCAGTCCCTGTTTAATCCGACCCAATCTTCGTGAATATAAGACTTGTTTTGAAGTAACTGGAACCCTAATCGACTGATATTCTTGTAAACGAGCCACTAAGTTTTCAACTCCTGATTTCATAAGACATTGACCTAAAACTGATGCATCTAAGATAGACATGTTTGTGCTTCTCAAACCATGTGGTGTTGTTGGGTGGGCCGCGTCTCCAATAAGCACCACTGGGCCCCACACAATTTGTTTTAAAGGGTTGCAATCGTATATGACGTTTAAAAATGGTTGTTTGGTTTCTTTTATGATTGTTGCAAGTTCAGGTACCCATACTTTTTGTGCTTCCTCTTGCATTTTCTTGATCATGTTGTTGCTTACTTTCATAGTTACAGAATTCCCCTAAGAATTTATTGGAATGCAAATAAGATAGGGGAAAATATGGTGAAGCTATTCGTTAAGATCAAAAACTGGATAAAATATTAATCACCTTAAGTTGTGGCTCTGGTTGATTAACATACCAAATCCAATTGATCCTTTTGTTCAGAAGCTCATAAAAAACGCTATGAGTTCCATTACCCAAGTCAAAATATAGGCAATTCCCCAAATCTGGGTAAACTTTTTTCAAGTCAACTAAAATTTCTGATTTTTCATCATCTGAAAGATCCAAAACCCCTCTCCAAGCACAGTAACCAGAGTACCTAACATCATTGTTAACTTTACATTAATAAACAAATGGAAAAAATTCAGAAGAAACATGTTAAGATACTTCAAATTCATCTTGGATTACAAACCTCAATTTGAGGTCAGGAAGGAATGTCTGGCGAATTGAAGACATACAACCATCTGCCGCAACTAGCAAATCCCCAACAATCTCAATCATTTTTCCTGTTTGAAGGTGTTTACAATGAACTTTAACAGATTTTTTGTCATCAGATACATGGAATGATAGAAACAAATGGCCCCAGAGGAATATATCTGAAGGGAGTGCCTTGTATAAGAGACCATGAAGATCAGACCAGTACGCAGCCCTGAAATTGAAGCTCTCATCTCTTGTCAACACGCGACTGATTTTTTTCTCTACATCGGTGGCTTGGTTCTGTAATAAAATAGTATCAAAGAGTACAAGTTACAAAGTTTTCCCCCCAAAATCAACTATTGATGTTGATTTTGAAGTTACATACTGATACTGGTATATTTCACTTCAATGGTAACTCATGTGTACAACAACCAATTGTTTAGAAGCAATTTAGACTAACTAAAAACTTCCAGGACCAGATTAGCATTTGTTCTTTAACTTGTAATCAACTTGGATTAGAAACAAATTCGGGATGAATATATACATACCTGATCGATTGTGAGGGGTAAGGTATGAGTGTTGAGAAGATTATCGGATTGTTGCTGTGGAAGCCATGAATTGATTATTCTTCGAGCCAACGGATCGAGGCCTAGCCCGGCGCCCGTTGGACTTCCGGTAGGAGGAGCGGTGGTTTTCTCCAGCACCATAACTTCCCACCCCGCCGATAACAGGGCGTGCGCGGAGCATACTCCTGCTATGCTCCCTCCGACCACCACCGCCCTCCCCTTACTCTCTTTCATCTACGGCCTCCTCACCCTCTCTCTCTCAAACTCGACAGATGATAAGAGCACATAGAACGCCACTATTAAATAATTTGATTGCACTATCACTTTAACCCCTCTACTATGAATGTATTGCAATTGAAATCTTAGGCTAAAATGGATAGCGGTATCAGGTGGTGCCCTCCCTTCTTGCCGTGGTGGACATATGTGGAATTAGGTGTTAATTTAGGAGTAGATTATAATATTTGTATTTGTCGGTTCAAATATATATATATATATATATATATATATATATATATATATATATATATATATATATATCATACATACTTATAAAGCTAACATTTTTTCTTGAATCTCATGCATTTGAAACCCTCTTTTTTAACTTCCTCAAATCACATTCATTTGAAACCTCATTTTTAACTAATGCAACTCAAAAGTTTTCTTAATTATGATTTAACACTCAAAAGTTTTATAACTTATATTATGTTTAATTAGCATTTAGTGAAAAGTTTACTATAAAAATGCCAATCTTTTGTGTCTTTTGTGTTATATAAAATCTTACATGTAAGAAGGATTTGAAGATATTGTGATTCAAAAGTTTTCATATAGTTGAAGCATTCACGATCCAAATATGATGATTTGAAGAAATGGGTTATCCAAAACAAATGAAGCTTTTCTATTCTTTCTTTATATTCAGTTTCTCATTTAATCTTTATATGTGATTTGTGTGTATTACTCAATCTTGAATGTGACTCTCCAAACATCAATGTTTTGGTTGGAATATTTTTCTGATTCTTCTTTTTCAAGAAAAATATTTTGATTGCAGGTCAGTAAAGAATTGTCATCAAGTTTCTATTGTTGAATGGTGTTAAATGAAGAAAGAAGATTCATAAAATGGATATAAGTTTTTTTGTTTGAGCAAAGTTAACGAATGTTAGTTTTTTCTTTTGATTTAAATGTATGGTTATGTAACATCTGTATTTATATATTTAACCACCCAATGCTCTTATTTATTTGATTGTAGTTTTTCTATTTTGATTATGTTTATTTTCTATTATTTTTTTGTTGGGTTATCCTACACAACATATTTAAAAGACAATATTTAAAAGATAACATAATTTTGAACATTTGATATGTAATTATGATAAACTTATCATGATATGTTCTTCATATGAAATTAATTTATCCATATTACTACGACAAGAATTACATATGACATTTACGAAAATATATATATTATATGTGATTTGTTTAACATGTATATGCACCTATGTATGTTATAAATTTATAATTAAATATCTTTATGTTTAATAATTGAAGGGATTAAAATGATGCATCAAAACCAATTATTTAGACGAATATAATAATAATAATAATAATAATAATAATAATAATAATAATAATATATTTCCAAGTACCGCATTCATTTGAAACTCACACTACAACTCAAGAGTTTTCTAATTTATGTATATTTATTAGTTACAACTCAAGAGTTTTTAACTTATGATTATTAATTAGTAATCACTAATAACTTTTTATTTTGCTTTCTTTTATAAGGTTGTAAAGTTTTGCTCATTAAAAACGTTAATGTATTTGAAGAGATTTGTGATTTAATATGAAGAGTTAATATAAATGTTATAATAGATGTTTTAGTGTTTTTATGTTATTAAAAGTTAGTATTTATTTTTCATATTTTTTTTTATTATTCGTTGTATATATATCTTTTTTAATACAAATGTTATAATATATGTTTTTCTATTTTTATGTTACTAAAAGTTGCAGTTCATACGTTTTGTTACCTGTTATATTATCATTCATTTGATATATAATTTACACAATTTTAAACGGTTTATAAAATTATCAAATAATTCTATATATCACAATGACTTAAAAATTAAACTAGAATGTTTAATAAAACTAATATGTTAACTATATGTTTGCTTTACTACTAACATTATGTTTCAAAGTAAAAATATTAAATAATAATTTGGTAAATGTTATTATTTTAACTATATAATTCTATTATCGCGCAACGCGCGGGGATTCGCCTAGTATATATATACATTTTTGATTGCTACAGGAGCACACAAAACTAGCTAAAATTCTTAATTACTTATTAATTTTTAGTCAAAAAAAAATTAGCATTTATCTCAAACTAGCTTTTAAAACAAAAACAATTAAGTGGTCTACGGTCAACGCCGCATTGACTATGGTCAACGGTCGGTTGACTATTCTTTAGGGGCATTGGAATACTGTTTGATAGGCTCTCTATTCTTTCAGGGCCCGTCGGCCCAAAATATATAAAGTTGTAATTTTCAGTTTTGCTCATTTTGTATGTGTTTGAAGTTGATATTCTCTCAATGGAGCCTTCAAAGAACAACCATGTGTCTTCGAATCTTGAATTTTATTTATTTATTATTTTTTGTTTTTTTATTTTTTTTCTTGTTTAGTTTGAAAATTAGTAGATACGTTTTTTTTGGAAAAAATGAAAATAAAATAAAATAGAAACTTACGGTGTGATGTACAGGCGTTCAATACACAAAACGTGCATCAAATACTTGTACACTGTAACTTTTTGGCCAAAACAATAGACCACTCAAAGGATATCGTAGACTATTTTACGGTATACGGTTTTGTTTTGCAAAAATGAAAAAAAAAATTACTTAAATATATAACCCGAAATCGTAGACAATTTAGGCGAAAGAGTACACGGTTTTGATGGCTATTTTGGGCTAAGTCTTAAATCTTGACTAAAAATAGAAAAGTCATTAGGGAATTTGGCTAGATTAGTAATTGCCTTTATCTAGCATAAGTAATTGGCCCGCTCGGACCAGATCGAATCGAGAGCAGTGCCGAATCAAATCGATTTTCGATTCTTAATATTGGGTGACCGTCTCCGACCTCGTAACGACTTCGGCCCCAACTTTGTCATATATCATATATAAAAAATTTATTTGAAACAATGAAAAATAGTGTTGAGTTGTCAAAGGAGTTTACTCTCGGTTAAAGGGCTTTGTTCAAATCTTTTTTGCTAATTTTTTAATATCTTGGGCTTTGTTCAAATCTTTTTTGCTTATTTTTTAATATCTCTCTTGTTGTTTGACGAATTAGCTCAACTCAATGATTCATACCAACATTCTCATTGATCAAATATGTGTTTACATATGTTTTCTCTCTAGTTTCTCCAGTGTTTCAAGTGTGTTTACAAGTACATAAGAACCCACTATATATAGGGCAAAGGTTGTGTAAGCCAAATGTTGTAACTTGTAAAAGTTATGTACATAACTTCTGCTTATGAAAGAGTTAAATGTAAGAAACCTATCATTATTCTATAAGTTACAGCACCCCTTTTGGGTGATTAGATTTACATTGAATTATACTTGTACTTCTTTGTCTTGTATCTTCAGATAATACATCAAACATTCTCCTTGTTAAAAACCTTACCGACAGAAACCTTTTGGGACAAAAACTTTGGTCGGGGGATAAAAGAGTATGATCTAGATGTCTTGAGTGAAGGAAATAACCATACATGAAGTGCCTCATTAAAACCTTGTTAAAAGAAAACCTATTGGAAGAAAAACTATAAACGAATGACAAAAGAGTACACGATGGTTAAAGAAGTATTCAAGTGGATACTCCCCTTAATTTCATCAATCCTTAGTGAGAATGGATTATATTTTGTGTCTCGTTAAAAATAACTTTGTCAAGATAAATCCAATGGGACAAAACCCTTTAACTAAAGATAAAAAGTGTACACAAGCATTCATCGGGGTGCTCCCCCTTACATGCACTCAAGAGGGTGTTCAAATTACATCAGGATGCAATCTTTAGTTGCACACAAATGGATGTATGATACATGTCATTTCGGTAGTTCATAGAGCTTCATATGTTCAATGGATCTGATATGTTTTTGGAATGAATATTTTGACAGTGACTTAGTAAACAAGCTTGCATGATTCTTCTCTGATCCAATATGTTGCACTTCAATCTTTTGAATGGCTTGTTGTTCATGTGTAAATAACGATTTTGGTGAGATGTGCTTAGTGTTATCCCCTTTAGTGTAACCATGTTCCGCTTAATCAACAACATCAATGTTATCTTCATATATGACAACTAGTTCATTAGGATCATAAACTAAATCACATGTACTTCGAATATGGCCGATTACAGCTTGAAACCATACACACTCTTTATTCGCCTCATAGAGTACGAGTAGTTCGGAGTGATTTACAAAGTAGCAACTAGAGTCTATTTACAAGACCTCCAGGATATCATCGTGTTCCTGATGGTAAAGACATAACCAGATTAGGAACGTCCCTTATGCGAGTCTGATAAGTAACCTGCATCGATATAGTCGATAAGGGTCGCATTATTTCAAGTATCATTCAGGGTAAATCAACCCGATGACACGTAGCAATATAATAAACCCATATATGTAGTACCTTTAAGGTACCATTCCAATGGTGGCGTGTTGGCGTAGTGTTGTGTCGAGCAAGACAGTTTATACCAAAAGAGATGTTTGTCTAGTACATTGGGCTAAGTACATTAATGCGTTCATTGCACCCAAACATGAACACTCAAGGGTCAATAGCACTTCATCGTACTCTTTTGGACGGAATGGGCCTTTTTAATGTCTAGAGAACAAACGATCATAGGAGTAGATGACGGCTCTGCATCATGATGAATAAAGCATCGCAACACATTCTGGGTGTAATTTTCTAGATAGACTAAAATCCTATCTCTACATTGCTCAATCTTTAGGCCGAGGCAATACCGTATCTTCCCAAAATCTATCATCTCGAATTCCTTCTTCAGGATTTCTGCAGTTTCGAACAATTCTTTCGAGGTTCCTATGAGATTCATATAATCTTCATAGACTGCGATAATTGTGTATCTAGAGGTGAATTTATTTATGAACACGCATGGGCATATCTTATTGTTCAAATATCCCATTCTGATCAAGTACTCATTTAGACGGTTATACCACATCCGCTCTGATTGTTTCAATCCATAAGTGTTCGCCTCAATCTTATCGACAACATGTTTCGTGGTCTATAATTACTTGATTCA